AAAACATTTCGATGCGGGATAGAACATTCTGTTACCTTTTCCCCTAGTTAATATTCAAGCTGTCCTCCGATAGTCCCGACGTGTTTGAGTCACCAAAAGTGCAACCGAATGACTCGTTCCTGAGACACGCGACCGCAAAGAGTTCAAAGAGCAAACCGAAGGTTTTGACTACGAGTTAATGTATGCTTAACCCAATGGCAAATGACTCATCATTGATGGTTAGTAGGGCTGTTAAAATATCGTTTGTATTTTATGGAAATATGTTGCTCTTTTCTTTGAATTCCCACAATAACTTTTGAAATATTTAAATATCCATCAATATAAAAATACATATTTTTTGGAACTTTATCGGTTTCTCAAATAATTAGCTTTCACACTAAAAAAAATGATCAATATTCTTAAAATGTATATATTTAAATTGATGACATTTCTGCAAAGTCGAATTTACTTCGCTTAGTGAATAGTTTAAATTAAGTTCTTCTTTCATTTCATTTTATACATACAAATAATAAACAAAATTATTCTTTATTTTTCGATACAGTATTTAACAATAAAATTCAAAATTCAGCTGTTCAATTTTTGTAAGATTTTCCCAGCAAAAAACATAACTGAAATATTTTCCATTAAAAGTAATGATGAAAGTTAAGCAAGAAATTATGCAAAAAATGTCAATAAATCGTTCCGGACTCGGCAGCGTAGGCAATTAATTTAATAATTTGTATTCAATTGTTGGACGCTTGCTGTCTTACACCTCTACAAATCGATTGGCCTGAAACTCTTTTGGCTAATCGAATATTCATTGCATATAACGCACGACTTGTTTATGCTTCGGTTGGTTAAATGGTAATTTCCTTCCATGTTCCATAGCTGAGATTCTAAGCCACCAGGTAAGAAAGACAAAAAAAAAGAAAGACACGAGTCCTGTCCCCAAGTCATTGACAGCAATTTGATTTTAAGTATGTCTGCCACTGTTTTCGAAAGTCGTGTTTTATTCGACTATTTAGGCCAGACCAATACATTAAAATAAATCAAGAAGTTAAATAGGTCTTGAAATTATCCGAATTCATATAATTGATTACATTATCCTCTCTAAAGAATTGTATTTTTCCCTTTTCAAAAAAATGAAACAATTTCACTTATTTTCAAAACTTTATTTGTGGAAACAAGTACTTAGAAAATTTATTTTAATTCTGGAATGCTGAATAAAAAATTGATTTAAGCATAAAATATAAAGTAACCATCCCATATCAAAAGCTTCAACCCATCGTGATAAAAGTGCTCTACATTTTCCACAATCATAATCAATCTCCATTCCCACATTAAAAACCCCAGCCCAAAGTCATTTAGCTAATCGAATGCAATTAAGCTGGAAAAGTCTACAACTAAGTTCCACCGATATTCACTCACACACGCACATGACTAAAAAAATGAGAAATAAAGAAAAATCTGCTAAAATCAGATTGCGATTGGCTCGCACATTTCAGCCGCCTTTGTGTTGACCACAAAACTACGAAAGTCAAAGCAAAGCAAAGCAAGAAAAAGGCTAAAAAAAAAGTTGTAAATAGTTTTTAAACGAGCATAGCCACTGGCAACCAATCAACGATCAGCTCAACACTCGCGCACTCAAACTCAAGTATGTGTTAGCCAAATAAATGAGCAGAGTTGCCAGCACATCTTAAAGTTGGCCTACCACGAAGAGCCAAAGCTGACTAAGCTCTCAGTTAACTAGAAATTATGTAAAATATTCACAGATTATATCTGTATTTCCCCCATGCGGCTCAAGTTTGGATTGTTTTATTATAGTATTTATCGGCCTTAATTGATTTATGGCTAATTTGAATAGATTTACAGCTGAGGGGCAACCAAAACCGGCAAGAGTGGGCAGCTGTGTGTGTGCGAGTGTGTTTACCTGTTGTTGTCGGTGTGCAAAGAGGCGTCTACAAAATGATCGCTTCGCTGCTTGTATTGGTCAATTGGCCAAATTGGTAATAGTGTGAGTTGACTTGCTTGTGGGTAGCGGAGCATGATTAAGCCAGGTACACTGAACCAAAATAAGGGGATCTGGAACCAATCAAAAACCCTTTATAATGAAAAACGAGAAACAATTATTAAGTCTTTAAACCCCACTGATTTTTATTGGATATAAATTATTTTTCATAAATCCAATTAAATTTAAATGATCGTTTGAGAGCCATAAAATACTTAAAGAAACTTACAAAATGTAATGTTCTGTTTCATTAATTTACAAAAAGTGAAAAAATGTTGTCGAATTCAAATTTCCTAAGAACTCTTTAAATTGAATATTTATCTTACTAACCGAAACCATCTTAAAATATTATTGTTTGGTTTTGATAACGCAAATCACTTAAGACTTTAATTATACGTGATATGTTTAATAGACAAACATTTTCCAAAAATTAATATAAAGAAAAGTATAAAAAATATAGGTAAAGCTAAATGTGTTTTATAAATTCATAACTTCACACCCGAAATATCAACAAATCTTCACATAAAATATCATAAACGAATAGCTTCTCCATACTTTTTTTCTGTCAGTGTCTGATCAGCAACCTCATTGGGTGAGCACTCCGCTCGGCACCAACACAGCGGCACTTTTAACAACAGGGACATGCAGAGCCCGGCTTTGGATGTTGGCCAGATCGGCAGACAGACTGAAACTGAACGAAAGCCACCTTACCTGTTTCGAAATCAAGTTTGCCGCTTCTGTGTCGCTCCGGTGATCCGCACAGAAAGGTGCACGCGCGCATTCAACACGGTTGTGTGGCCCTCGATCCGAGGTTCTTTAGTGTGATTTTGTGGATTTATACGATCATCGGAAACGGAACGGATTTGCTTTGCCTTGCTCGAGCCCCAGAGACCCCAGAGGTTCAGCTGAGCCGCAAAGCCGTCGGTATTTTATTAATCTTGTGATCGCAAATCGGTCTCTCGTTCGTCTTTTCGGTCCTATAAGTTATTATTTAACGCGATTCATCTACACATGTTGTGCGTCACTCGGCCCATTTGATTTGCAAATTCTAAGCTGAGTTTTTTTCGAAAAGAAACCCATAAATCTTGATTTAATCAAAGTGTTGAATATGCAATGATTCTATGAATACCTTTGTAATGGCCAATAATAATCAAAGCAAATATATATTGTGCAATAGAAACCCCATCACATTGGAGCTAATAATTTAAGTAAATACCTAGATAAATATAATAAATACAAGTTATTGTATTCAAGTGTCAAACATTGTGGCTGATCAAAAGTGTATTATGAAATAATCATTTATGCCAAATTGGAGCTAGCTCTATAACCAAATGGATATCGCAAATTGAATCTTTCGAGCAGAGAGGTAAGTTGAGATCAAGGTCTGCTCAAATTCCCCACACCCGCACCCAAAATCGTAATTTACCAATTTCATTATTAACTTTTGATAGAAATCAAATAACAAAATACTTAAAAAGCGAGCAAAACCAAAAGCCGTAACCCCAAAAAATAATCAAATATCAAATAAATACACAGAGATATATCTGTGGAGTTCTTCATTTCATTCAATGACTTTTGGTGGTCCCTATTCAAACAACTCCAAACAAATTCAAGCATCGACTCGATGACACTCGAAACGTCAACTCGAACAAATTTTTTGTATCTCCGTCGTCGTCTTTGCCTTGCTTGTTTCCCTCCTCGGTGATAAGTTCACTTGACAATGAGTTGCAGCAAAGACCCAAAAAGCCAAAGCAGACGGTAGTGAATACTTTGGATACTCGAGATGGAAATTTGAAATTCACTTAACAAAACTAATTTCAATTGTTGCACTTTTCGGCCGCGGGGGCCAAGTAGAACCCAGAAGATTTTTTTGAGATTTTTCTTGGCGCCATCCCAAGTGGCCTGGAAATGTGCCGTATTTGTTTTGGGGCTTTAAGGAAAGTGATAGTGGGTTGGTTCTTTTCTTTAGCAGGGGAGAACTGGCCAGGAAAAATGGATGAATAATATGTAGGTCACTGCATTGAATATGAGTTATGAAATAAGTATATTTTTTTAAACATCGGACTTTAAAAATATAGAAACACGGCATTTTTATATAAATATCAGGGAAAATAATTAAATTCAAATTGATTGAATATATGCGAATTGCTGTTTTGGTTATTAATTATGTATTTGAGTTCATTTGTTACTTTGAATATTACTTCGTTATATTTTACTTATTACAATATTACGAGAATATTTTTAATGAAAGTTAATTTTATTTGAGTTGTTACAGACATTAAAAATCGAACGTAACACTAATAAAAATAGGTAATTACTGTTTTTACTGTGAATTTAGATTGACACAAATTTGTTTATCCAAAGCTATTCAGATTTCCCTTTTCTCGAAAACATTTATAAGCCTCAGCCGCTTCTCGGAAAGCCAAATCTTAAATTGATTGATCATTATTTAAGACTTAACGAGTTTCAAATACGATCAACACAGATCTTAACCCAACGAGTGTTTAGTATTTGTGTTGTAAGACATTTCATTAACCCCTAGTTACTTATCCGCCATTCGGAGGAACCGAAACGCCGTTGCCATAAATGCTATAAATCATTATTTTCAACTCCTTATGCAATCGAAGTGGCCAAATAAAAAATCCATCAAAAGCGCCAACTCATCGGAGGGCATTGGGAATACACACCGAACATACAGCGTGGCAATTGTTCAAATAGGCAATATAACAATACAAATCAGTTCCCTCAAAATATGGCTCTTTTTGTGCCGCAGACAATTCAAACAATATCATGGACTATATTCGGCTTATGGAAAAAACAAACCTAATCAGCAATTGTTGTTTCATTTCATTAGCAATTCGAAAACGCTAGAGTCTGCAGACTTTCATTAAGATCTACATATTGATTGATATTATCGTTATATTTCCCATTGTGATTGGCCAAAGATTTTTGCCCAAATAACCGTGACAATCCGAGCGCTGAAAATTTTGCCCTGTCATTTCTTGCTTTTTAGAATTGGTAACAAATATTTGCAAACGTGCGATCGACGAAATGTATGCGGATAATAAACGTGGCCTAGACAAGGTGACGGCAGCGACCCCGCCCACCCACGCCCTCCAGCAGCAGCAGCAACATCCCCACCAGCAGCAGCAGCACTTGCAACATGTCCTGCAACTGCAACAGCAACAGCAGCAGCAACACCTACAGCAGCAACATCATTTGCAGCATCAAATGCATACGCATCATAACTTTCAGCATGAAACGCCGGCAACTCTGTCGCAACAGCAACACATGCAGCAGCAGCAGCAGCAACAGACGACACAGCAACATGCAACCCAGCAGCAACAGCAACAGCAGCAACAACAACAGCAACAGACAGCCGGCATGTTTACAAGGTAAGTTCTTAGCGCCAACATTCTGGCTTATCTCCCTTTTCACACAGCCACGCATCACAAACCGCACAAACATGCAAACTTTTAATTTCAATTTGTTTCGCACGCTTTGATATTTGTCAATTCGAATTTGAAATACGGGGCCAAGTTCGCATTTGGCAGCAGCGAAACTCCTTTCGGCCCTGAGCTCCCAAGATCCCCAGACTCCTTTCAATTTCTTCGTCGTCGTTTTCCCTCAGTGCCTCCTGGATTTTCACTGCTTTTGTTTTTTTGGCTAGTTCTTCCACGGAGTATGCACCTCAAAAAAAAATAGGGTTTGGGTTTAAATATTTAAGGGATTAGATGTGTTTTTATTGAACAAAATAGATTGCTAATTAAAATCATCTGATTTTGTAATTTTCAAGCTACAAACAAGGAGGATTTTATAAAATTATAAGTATTTAAGGGTTAGTATAAATGTAATTCATCATTTAAAAGAGGGTTAACTAAGAAATTCTTGATAGTTTAAATCGAATCTAGGGACCCAAAAGTAAACTTATTTAAACTTTATAAAAATTCCCTATTTATCAACTTGAGTTACTTGTGAAAGTAATATTAAGACTACTAAGAAAGTTTAACCAAAATTTTATATTATAAAAAATGAGTATATTTGAATTTGAGGTCTTGATATTAGAAGAGAGTTATTTGGTCAACTTTTATAGGCTAGAATAGAGATTTCTAATCTGATTTTCTCTCCGTGTACCGATGCTGCTGCTCCTGCTGCCGGTTTTAATGGCCTCTTGTATTGGCAACTTGTAGTTCGCAGTTATCTGGCTCTCGTAATCTCTCCGGTCGGTCTGCGTACCCAATATCCAGTACCCAATATCCCATCCCAGTGTACCCGTACCCCCAGCGCCAATTTTTATTTTCGCGAGGAGCCAGAAAAACGCGCAAAATTCACTCCCAGCTAAACTGAACCGATCCGAACTGCGCCGCGCCGCGCCGGAGATGCTGTGCCATTTTATTTAGCTCCAATTAATTAGTGCTTCAAATGTTTTGCCATAAGTTAAACCCGCACAGTGCGATGCGATTGACATTACCACGTTGGCAATCGGACGTCCCCACGAAGACGACGACTTCGATGGGGTACCAAAAAAGGCGTCTCCACAGCAGAAAAAAAAATCAGAAAAAAGAAACCTCGGGAATCGACGACAAAGTCGGGGAGATGCCAGTAAAGTTAGCCACATCTCCTGGCTGCCGTTGCTTCTGAAATGTGTAAAACTCACGTGTGATGTTGTTGATGGCTCGTTCTTTGTCTGTTGAGATTTTCCTTGTATTTTTTTTCTTTTTTTGGACTGGCGAAATAACCCGCCTTTGTGTGGGAGATCCTCGGGTAGGTGTTGCCCTGATCTTGAGCTTTTTTCGTTTTATTTTTTGGGTGGGTGTCGTTTTCTAGTATCTTCCGGATGCCGGCACTAAAATTAGAGCATTTTGTAGTAGCAGCTCGGTTAGGAAAATTAAGATAATTATTTGTAAGCGTTTTATTAAATTATCAAAATAAGTAAGAAACTAAAATGTGATCAAAATTCAGAAATTAATTTCATTCATATATTAAAAAAAAATGATTTTTGTCTCCCCTAAATAATTTCCGTAAATAAGAACTTACTAACTTAATTTAGTTCATTCATCTGAATTTTACGGGACCCATGAAACTATCAATTAGCATGTGGAATTGTTGGAATTCCCAGCCATCGAACTATCGAAAATTAAGCTTCAAACCTTTTTTTTATTTCTCTCCACTCCACTCCAAAAAAAGTTCATTGTTCGCGCGCCAAAGCACGCGCTTCTCCACACTCACAGATACAAATAGTTTGTAATATTAGTGGGCTATATAAGCATATAGTAAAATCGGGCGGATTTCTATAAATATTTTCCATGCTCGAACGAGAAGTGCCAACAACACGCCTCGCGCACTGAAACAAACAACCGTTAAACAACGAAAACTATATCAATATGCTCTAAATAATAAATGACACTAATTAAAGCCGAAGAAAACCCGGCGTTTGTTGTTTTTAACACATCCCAGCCAGCAGAGTCAACAAACCTGGAGCCACTACAAAAAAAAGAAGATACAAGTAGAAAAAGGCGAAGGAAGGAAAAGTCAGCTTTCAGAGTCAAAGCCAAAAGATACAGATTTGTAAAGTGCATTTTGTTTTTTTTTTTTTGTATGGTACGATGCTTCCTGAGTGAAACTAACCGAAACCGTTGCGTACGGATTCTGTTTGAGTTTGAGTTTGTATTTGCTTTCGGGCCTGCGCCGTTGGTGTTAATTTTGGTAATTAGCATGCCGCGGACACTCGGCTAAGATACAATTTCGTTCGGCTATCTGTAACACACTGCCACTGCCACTGCACGGGGCTGCCAGCTTCGCTAGCAATTTTATGCTGCTAATTTCATTAACACATTTCACGAGAAAAGCGATCAGCCGAGCGGACCAGGCTATTTACTCGGCTATCGGTTGCAGTAAATGCTGCACTAGATCTCAGTATGCCCAATGCACTGGGAAAGATTCTTTCAGAAACGAGGAAAAATTTAAGATTTATTTAAGTTAAGTTACTTAAAGATCGGCTTATTTAAACTCAAAGGTACTTCACACAAACTTAATTCTTAAACCCTTGTTTTTTGTAAAAATTATAATAAAGTAGTTATACCCGTTACTCGTAGAGTAAAAGGGTATACTAGATTCGTGCAAAAGTATGTAACAGCTAGAAGGAAGCGTTTCCGACCCCATAAAGTATATATATTCTTGATCAGGGTCACTAGCCGAGTCGATCTAGCCATGTCCGTCTGTCCGTCTGTCCGTCTGTCCGTCTGTCCGTCTGTCCGTCTGTCGTCCGTCTGTCTGTCTGTATGAACGCTGAGATCTCAGAAACTACAAAGCTAGAAGGTTGAGATTTACACATATTCTTTGGCTTCCTACGCAGCGCAAGTTTATTTTAGCCGAGCGCCACGCCCCTCTAACGCCCACAATCGCCCACTAACGATTTTAAAATGGGTCCTGCGCCCACATCTTTAAAGATTTCCGAGAAGTATAAATGCAATTTTGTTGTGTATACTTATACCTATCGAAATGTAGAAGACATTTTTCAAATCGGACCATTCATTAAAAAGTTATACGATTTATAAATTGTCAACATATATCTATCTCCCTCGCACTCCCTTTAGCTGAGTTACGATTATTAGTCGGGACACCAACCCGACACAGCGTTCGCACTCCCTTTAGCGGAGTGACGGGTATTAGATAGTCGGGACACCAACCCGACTATAGCGTTCTCTCTTGTTTTTTATTCCTTTTTAATCGTTATACTAAAGTTATTTAACACCAGAAATTATTCCTGTATTTTACCTGTATTTTTTTTATACATTTTATGTCCCTAACATCCTTATCATCTATTGTTATAAAAAGGTTTCTCCTAAAATCTTAATATTTTATTAAATACAGCATTTCCATTTTTAGACTTATAATTAAGACTTTAGGTATTTCTTTTTTAATAGATACACAAATTTTCCATTTCCAAGCATTGACTGATTTTCCCCGAATTGGTTTTCTCGCTGTGGCTGACTTCCGTTTCCATCTAATTCTTAAGATCAATATTTGGTGACTCGCGTCGAAATCGATTTCGGAATGCCCCCCTATACGATATATATGCTATGACCAGGCACTATCTGAATCTGCCGAAACCGAGACCGTTCGACTACGCAAAGCTGAGCAAATAAGTGCGCCACCTCCGCCGCGGGTTTTTATTTTCCAGATCGATGAAGCTGCCCTGGGGCTTACCAAATTATTTAGTTGCGGCATCCCTGTGCTAATTGCCTGACGGTAAAGTGCAACGGCAGCAGCCAAACCATCAATCCCGACTGGAGTCCCAGTCTCAAGCCGATGAGCCATGGAATACCACACCATACTATATACCATATACCATAGTTGGGGTAATTTCTGGCCAAGCCACCGCCGGGCACAAAAGTATACAGAGAGACCAAAGAACCAAGTCATGGGAAAATTTCCGTACACACACAATTTGGGGCTTGGCTTACGGGCGGAGGAAGAAAAAACTCAGTTTCGCACGCAAATTAAGATAATCGAAAGCAAATGCAGCAACGGTAGCCGCTCTCCATGGTTAGGCTCAAAAAAAAAAAGAAAAAAAAACCTAAAGAAGAAAATCGGCAAAAAGAAACGGGTTTGGTACCCGGTAGCAACAAATCATAAAAATATGAAAAATTATGCGGCGGCGTCGGAGGAGATTCGGAACTCCGACTCCAACAACTCCCAACTCGGCGGAGGATCTCGCTCCCCGCAAATGACGATGTCCAAGAGCCAATGCCAATCATCGAAGTGTGCTTTTGGCAGTCCATCATTAAATTGTGGCTAAGATTCCAATCAAACATACAAGAGCATCGAAGACGGCAGACGGTAGCATCGGAGCATCAGCTTGATTTCATTTCTTTTCAGGCAATGAAATCTCAGCTGCGGTCTGTGGTTTATTTTCGGCATGGGTATCGGTGTGGTTTAGTGGTCCTCGGTGGTGTGGCTCGCATTTTTGAAATATATGCGTCAAAATAAACACAGTAGCTGCCCGCCAGACTTCTTTATGAGCTTTTGAGAGCAGTAAATTATATGGCTGCGATTTACGGACACACAAACTCATAAGTTAACTAATTGATTGAGATAATTGAAGGATGGGGCGAAGGATATAGGATACAGATTATGATTTTTCAGCGAAAGTGAAGATAATTCTGGTTTTGCTATTTTGCTATTATGAAAAAAATAGTTGAAAAGGGGAAGATATTTCTGGATTAAATATAAAATAGTTTTTTTAAAAGGAATTTTTTCTGATTTTAAGGATTGCAACTAAAAGGAGGATCATTGGAAAAGGGAAGATTTAAATTTAATTGGAATTAGGATTATTGAAAAAGATATTTATAGTTTTAATTTTATTCGGCAAATTTTAAAATGTTATTATTTT